CCGTAACCTTGTTTACTAAATTTGCAAGCAAAAATGCCAGATATCAAAATCAATTAATATTTACCAAATTTTATAATTCCAACTGATCCACTAACTTTTAATTCGATTAACAAAATGAAACGCAAAGATATACATTTGATGGAAATTTCCAATAACATGGATCAGGTTCAAAACCGAATTAAAGAATTGCTCTCTGCTGATAACTATCAGCTGTTGATGGAGGGGTCATTTCTCTTTTAAAAAAATCTTCATGGAAGTACAATTTATGCTAGTTATGATTTTGTTTGATGATTTGTTGAGGATGTCAGATTATGCGTTGAGTAAAAAGATTTAAGAAAGTTGATGTAAAACATGAACAGTTAAGAATGATAAAAATGTTAAAGTAAGTTGGAGATCGAAGGTGGTGATAGAGATGGGGGAGAATTGTAGTGATTTGAATTAATTACAAAAATGATAATGGGTCTCCGTTTGTGGCCTTGACCCACTAGAAGAGGGACTGTAAGGATTTTGTAATTAATGTGTTAAATATTATCTGAGATTCTCAAGGCTGAAAAACACACATGCTGTAGAACAACTCCTGAAAGGAGTCAAAAACATAGATCGCTCAGCAGGTCAGGCAGCATCTATGGAGAAAGTGGGTCAGTGTTTTGGGTCCATGACCCTTCGTCAGAACTGGGGGGTGTTGGGAAGGAAAGGTTTTAAGGACTAACCAAGAAGGGACACCGGGGCAAGAAAGACCACGGAGAAAATGGGGTGGAGGACATGGGATAATGTTTTTTTGTTTCAGATTTCCAGCATCTGCGGTATTTTGTGTTTATTTTTCCCCTAAATGGATCTATCAGTTATTTTCCCCTGGGAAAAGTAGTCTGCTCAAGGAGAAACTAGAGACAAAGGAACTATCTTGCAAAAGATGATGCAGGTGAAAAGTCATTCACCAACTGAATAAAGAGAAATTGATTCAGGAAGAGAATCAGAAAAGACAGGGAGTTGCAACTTGGGAGTCACGAACCATATTCCCGCTTCCAAAGTAGGAAGACTAAGACAACTTAGTCAACAACTTTATCAACACTCTCCAGCCGGCAACAGTACAACAGTACCTGGATACTTTTTGGTGGATTAAATTGGACGTTACTTCCACAACATTTGGATTATCCAACCTTAATCTTTGAATCCAAGAATTCATAAGCATTATTCTCTTGCATTCTTTTAACTATCTATAACCATTATTAATCTGAATTAATAAACATTACTTTTTAATATAGGATTTGTATCAGTCTTTACTTCACTGCAAGGTTAAAATGGACATCTTACAATTATGAAGGTAAAAGACTTTTGATAAGGTAAAACTGAGAAACTATTTCCACTGGTCACCGATGAGTCAGTAACCAGAGGTCTTAAGTTTGCAATTATTTAGAACTCATGCATTAGCCTGGCACAGGCGCAGCGCTCTCACCTCTGAGTTAGAAGGTTGTAGGTTACAAGCCTCATGTTGGGACTTGGAATCATAGCCTAAGATGACATTTCAATGATTAGTTGGCAATAAATTAATACGCTTAAAAGTGAAAAAGAATATTTTTATGCTTAAATAGCAACTATGCTAATGGACACAAAAGGATAACCCCAACATTTATAGGTTTGCTTATTGGTATCATTGCACCAATATTAGAATCTAGTAGAATCAAAGCTCTTCAGTTAACATCAATGGAAAAATAACCCTTATTTAATTGTGTCTCAGACCTCTGCCTAATAAGCCACACAACACATCAATACCCTAGGGAAACAAATACAACAATTTGCATTTCTATAGCACCCTTCACGCAGGGTAGTGTCTTTGAGTGCTTGGTAATAAACAATTTGGTAATACAGCACTTGGAAATACATGGAGCGCAGTTAATACACAATTACCACTGAAGAGTTCATTGAATGACACGAATCTTACATTATTTAAATGATGTAACTGCAATGAATGACACTATCGTCTTAACTCATTTGAACACAAACGATACTTATATTGAAAAGTGATGCAGTCAGTAAGCACAAGCAGATATCTAAAACAAAGCCTTACATTTACAAAGCCTAATTTCAGACAAGTACTAGAGCAACATTTTATTTGTGTCCAGTTTTGAGAACCAGATTCCACACCATTGATTAAGAATTACATATTGGAATCCGGAGGACACAATTGCCTATTACTTGACTGTACATGATCAGACCTAACTGATAGTCTCTGACCCCAAATTCATCTTTGCCGCATAGAATCCTTTTAAGCCATTTATCTTTTCACACAAAGGTGTTATCACTTCATAACCAATACCATCTTCTTGGCCAGCCTGGTACTTGACCAGCTTGGGCTATGGTACCCCATCAGAGCTTTGACTCACAGCATTGAAGACCTGTATTTATCTCCAATTCTCAATGATGAGCCAGACATACTGGTCAACCATTGATAGTATTTTGGATTACCACAAACCTACCTTATTTTATGTACAGGGACAATCACTTGCAAGATTGGCACAATAAGGTAGTAAGATTGCTATTACTATGTACACTGCTTCATATAATTACAAAGATCTTGAACATAAAATGTCCCAATCCTCTTCTCTCAACTTTCTCTTTATTAAGAAAATAACAATAATCCTTCCATTTGATATAAAACCTTTCACATCAAGAGAATGTGTCAAAGTCCTTCACAGGATATACTGGAAACTGTCGTGACTGTGTGATGTGTAAGTGAACATAGCAGTAATTAAAGTTAAGATTAATTTTTCATCCATCTCATTGTTTATTGTGGGATGTTACTGGTTCAGATTATCTGATGTGTTTGCCTGCAGTCACCACACTTTGAAGTAACTCATTGCACAACACTCTGAAGTGAGTAAGTGGGATATTAATAATCCTTACATTTGGTGTACAGCCTTTCACATTGGGAGGTCTCAAAGCGCTTCTTCACAGAATATATTGTGAAGTGTGTTTTGTGAGTGAATGCAGTAATCAATTTGCACACAACAATGTCTTAGAAACAACCATGAAGTGAACGGCCAATTTTATTTGGGGGATTGTTGGCCAGGACTTCAGGAGAAACTTCCCTTCTCTTTTTCGATATCAGGTGTAAGTATTATTTTATTAGTACAATAATGGGGTCATGCATGGTTTTCCAATGTCAACATTGGAAGTAATACTCTGGGATGAAAAATGCAACATTTCATTACCAATTTGATAATTGTTACATCAAATCCCAAACTGCTCCTTTAAACATTGGGTGAGTCGTGTAAACTATGTGTAATTATGTGTTATGTGACATGTGTAAACTGCGTGAAGTGAAGCAGAGATTGACAGACCCTTCCCTTTTACTCCGGGACATAGGTCAAGGATTGGATCAGGACTGTGATGACCGTGTTCGAATACCCCGCTGATGCCAACTGTAACCCTGACTGCTGCCCCAGCTCAGCTCCTTGGCACAGGTGTGTAGTTGTCTGCTCTGCAGGAAGTCTCACTTGAGAAGGCTGAAACCCACGCTGCTTGCAGAGGGTCCGTGTGTGAAGTCGCTATCGCATCTCCCAACACAAAAATCATACTGTAAAGTGACTTGGTGCCTCTGAAGCACATTGAGACAACATAATGTGACGTGATATGACACGACATAATGCAATGCAGGGGAATATGACTTGACGAAATTAGACGCTGGACCAGATATAAAGCTGCAGATTTACATATAACAAAATAAACAGGATCCACAATAGATTAAACACCGTCCACTTGAGGATCTGACATTGTACGAAGGAGGCTGCACAGAGCAATTCAGCTCACCCTGTCTCTGTCTCTGTCTTTCTCTCTCTGGGTAAAGTTTATTTGGGTTTCCGTTTAGACCTTCATTGATGTAGGATGTCAGCCCCGTTCAGCGGAAGCACTCTCGCCTCCGAGACAGAAGGTTGTGAGTTCAAGTCACATAGTCTAAGCTGACACATCAATTCAGTGGTGTGGCTGTGTTGCATTGTCAGGTGAGACGTTAAACCATTTGCCTGTTCAGGTGGACGTTAGAGATTCCATGGCACGTTTCAAGAAGAGAAGGGAGTTTCTTCTGCTGTCCTGGCCATCAAATCCTCCAAAAAATAAAATTGGTCATTCACTCCATGGCTGTTTGTGGGACACTGCTGCGCTCAAACTGGCTGCTGTGTTTCGCTCACAAATTACAAGTCGATTCACTTTACAGTGTATCCTGTGAAATGCTTTGCGAATTCTTCGCGACGTGATAAGGAGCTATGTTATTATTAGCCTTTCCAACTGATCTTGGCACAAGATCTCAGAGGATCTCTGGGCCAGCGAAAGAGTGGATTTCACCCTCCTCCGGGGAGAACAAAACATTCAACAGACAAAGTGGCTCAGAAGCCCTCTGTGAGGGCCAGCGTTTACTGTGATATCCTCACCCTCGCCTCAAGGGAGAGTAAAGATTGAAGTTGATGATGGGAAGATCCCACTTAGCCAGGGAGTAACACAGTGCCTGGCTTATAACACAAAAATAATCGTTGCATTTAATATAGCACCTCATCAAGGCGTTGAGACGTCTTAAAGTGCTTCACAGAATATACTGTAAAGCGGCAGCCAATTTGTGCCCAACAGTGTCTCACAAACAGTTGTGTGACCAATCACAGACCTATGTTATCACCAACTGGTGAGACTCCAACAGTTACCCCAACTCACACCCTGGGGTCCCCAAACTCCTGCCGACCTGCGCCTAATACTTTCCGGAATTAGGTAAGCAGGATGCGTTCCTGCAGGGGCAGAGTGCGCGTTCTAATAACTTATCTCTGGGATTTCCACGTGTAGGTGGGATGCATGGAATTCTCAGTTTGGTTTGAATACTCTTAAGCACGGTGATGGGTCAGACCCAGCTGACCAAAAAAAAATCACCAGCTTCTCCCCCCCCTCCCCACCCCCTCGCCCACCTGACAACTCACTTACTGACAGCCTAGCTACCCTGGCTGACATCCCTCCCTCCCTCCACATCACGGCTCGTGTACTGCCAGTGCCTGCTGGTTGCTGTTACGCGGGTTGCTTCGTGGGCATTCTGCGACGGTCCTTGACGGCGTTCCTCTTGCGCTTCTTCCCGAGGAAGGACTCCAGCTTGCCGCTCCGCTTCAGCTCCCGGTATTTCTCTGCCAACTCCATCTCCCGCTGGGCGGCTGCAACAACAAGAAAAGGGTACGGTCAGCGTATGGCCCTAGGGAGACTTCAGGGGCACAGCTACAGTGCAGGAAGTACTTCAGCGCTCAGGGGTACGGGTGGGAGGGAGGGGGGGGAGAGATGCAGGAGGAGGATTCTAAGAGATATAGAGGAGGGGTCTGAGTGGTACAGGTGGAGGGGTCTTCGAGACAACAACAACTTGCATTCACACAGGATTGTGTCCCAGAGCGCTTGACAGTGGTGGAGCACGAAGCCGAGTCAGAGGGAGGTGACCGTAAGCCTGGTCGAAGAGGAAGGTCTTCAGCTGCGACCAGAAGATGGGGAGGGTCCTGTGTGACATGGTGGAGAGTGCTGAAAGATGTGGGGTAGGGTCCTGGGAGATGTGGGTAAAGGGCTTGGGAGACAACAACAACTTGCACTTATATAGCACCCTCCATGCAGGGTAGAGTCTCAGAGACGTGGGAGATACACGGGAGAGGCGTGGGAGATATGGGGGAAGAGCCTGAGATACGGGGAGGAGGTTGTAGTGTCTCTACTCACATTTGGTCAGGTGGAAGGGTTTGCTGCCCTGCCGGACCCGCTCACGTTGCTGTCTCTTAAACTGCAGGTGTCGCTCCCGCTCTCGCCGTCTGCTGCTCTGGGCATCCTCCTGGTTGTTCTGAGGGGGGGGGGGGGGGAGAGCAGACGGCAATGAGCATACAACATCGCCGCTTCCCAAACCCACCCCCCAGGCCAAAGTCCAGCTCACCAGTCTACAACCAAAGGCCAGCACCAGTAACATTGCTCCCTCACACACCCCACACACCACCTCCCCGATCACTCACCATTCTCTGTAAAAGTTGCTCCAGCTCCTGCTTCCTGTTTGGATCCTGCACTTTATTCAATTGCTTCTTCACCATCTACCAGGGGTAAGGAAGGAGATTAGCTCCAGCCACAACAAGGCATCGGGGGGAATCAGCACAAAATGTGACTCAGGTGTAAAACACATAGACTTATTCATATATATATATATATATATTGAGACTGACCCTCTCTGCTCTACAACCCCTTTCCACACACATACACACATACATACCCTCTCCACACACATACAGTCCACAAAGTCTTTTTACTTTTTTTTCCTGCAGTGCACTGACCAACAATTGAAACCTGTGGAAGAATGATATTAATTGTATCTAGAAGTACTTCATTGTATTCCATACAAGTACTCAACTGTATATAGATGATCAGAGGATCGGTGTGTGTGTGTGTGTGTGTGTGGGCGCCATCATTTTCATGGCAGATAATGATCCGTTGCCATGTTAAGTGCCACATCTTCCGTAACATGGAGGCGAAATGCATTTCTGACGGCTTGTTTCAGCTCCTCCGTAGTCTCACACTGATGTTTTGTAACAGTGGGTAACAGGACTTTGTGGACATATATGTGTTCTAGGCCAGTGGCGAGCAACCCACGGCCTGTGGGCCTGACGTGGCCCCCTAGGGACAGTCAAGAAGTGCCCACCTGCGAACATTCGCACTAGTCTAGGTAAATCCATTTTAAATCAACAACAACTTCGATTTATATAGCGACCTCCACGCCAGACGGCATCTCAGAGTGCTTCACAGTCACGAATCCCGGGGCCGAGCCAGGGGGAGGGGGAGGAAGGTGACCAAAGGCGCGGTCGAAAAGAAAGGTCTTCAGTAGGGACCTGAAAGTAGGAAGAGAGGAAGTGAGACGAAGGGAGTGAGGAAGGGAATCCAGAGCCTCGGGGCTTAGTGGCTGAAGGCACGGCCGCCGGGGGTGGAGCAGAGGACTCAGGCGATGAGGAGGAGGCCAGACCTGGAGGAACGGAGGCAACGGGTACTGTTTTGAGGAGAGAGGTCAGAGAGGTAGCGGGGTGCAGAGGAGTGGAAAGATTTGAATACAAGGGTGAGGATCTTGAAATCGATCCTCTCTGGGATAGGCAGCCAGTGCAGTCTGGCAAGGACTGAGGGAATCGGGGGAATCAATGTTTTGTTTCCATTTTATTCCTCGATGGCATAATTTATGGTATAAATCGAGAAATATTCAATCAAGAAATGTATTTTGTTGGCCGACCAAAAAGGTTCGCCACCACTGCACTAGGCAGATGTTTCTGGTACAAAGAAAGATTCCAGCTCTCATCAATTCTCAATGACTATCCTCTCTACTCCACAACCCCACCCTCCACACACACATACACACACTCTCTTTACATTCTACACTCTCTCTCTCCGCACATACACACATTCTCTTTCCACACACACAATCTTCCCCCCCACACACTCTCTCTACACACACACACACACACAAACTCTCTCTCTCTCCACGGATACCCACACTCTTTCTTCCCCACCCACTGTGGCACTGACCTCCTTCTCCTCCTTCTTCATATCGTCCAGGAAAGCATAGGTCTTTTCAAAGATCGAAGGCTTGTATTCTCCAGACAGGTCATCGAATCGAGGATCTCTGGCTCTCTGCAAGAAACCACACCACACTGTGACTGAGGCAACAGGGGCTATAGCACAAGCCACAGCAAGTACCCAGTACACACGCCCATAAGGTAGGGAGCACCCTCACCCCTCAAAGGCAAGAGCTCACTCACACCCAAAATAGGGGGCACAATAGTCAGAATCCAGTAGGAGAGGGAAAGCAGAATCCGACGCTTGGCACTCACCTGCTTCTTGACAGGAACCACTTTCCTGAGGAAGGGCACTCGCTGCTTGGCAGACATCTCCAGAGGCCTGAAAAGAGTAGAGGTAACACTCACTCTGACTGCACACTCCCCACAGGCTGATTACAAATCCCACCAAAAGTCCAGATGAAGGTCTATTTGATCGAGGATACACAGCTAATCTGGTCATTCCATACAGCTTGTCCCTCCAACACTGGAGGAATCAACCTTATTGCTCTCATCTCTGTTGCCTTTACAGTATATCTGTGATGCACTTTGAGACATTTCAAAGCACTTCACGAATATATATTGTAAAGTGAATTGAGTGTTTTTTTCGTGTGGAGCCCGGTGAGGATGGGGATGATGGCACTGCAGTTTGGAGGCGCACACAAGTTTGGAAGCGCACGCGAGTTCTCCCGTTACCTATTCTTGTTGGTGCGTTTCGGAGCTGCCTTCCCCAGTCCTGATGTGCTCTGGGTGGCTGCCTTCCCCGGTGCTGACATGCTCTGGGTGGCTGCCTTCCCCGGCGCTGATGTGCTCTGGGTGGCTGCCTTCCCCGGCGCTGATGTGCTCTGGGTGGCTGACGGTGCTCTGTACAGCATCTGGTTGAACGCCTTCATTCCCACCCGATTCTGCAGCTGCTGGAGCTCTGTGAACGACAGTGTGGAAAGCTCTGGGGGAACAGGGAAAGAGGTTTGAGGAGAACAATCCATAGCTTTCTAGTTTATTCCTGGTCCACAAAGTACACATTCAATTCTACTTACAGTATATTCTGTGATGCGCTTTGCAACGTGATAAGGCACCATATAATAATAATAATCCTTGCATTTGATATAGCGCCTTATCACATCGTTGAGACGTCTCAAAGCTCTTTACAGAATATATTGTAAAGTGGATTGACTATGTATTTTGTGGGCGAAACATGGCAGACAATTGCGCACAGTGACGTCCCACAAACAGTTGTGAATTGAGTGACCAATTGATTTCTCAAATTGATTTCTCTTATTATTACAGTATTTTCTACACTCGTTTTATTCCCTTCATATCTCCCCCTCTCTGCACCCATTCTCTCCCCCCTCCACCTGTCACCCGTGTTCTCTCCTTGTGCACTCTGCTCCTCTGCCCTCCTTTCTCTGTCCCCTTGCTCTCTCCCTCTCTGCACCCCCATTTTTACTCACTCTCTACCCATTGCTGTCTCTTTCTCCCCCCTTCTCTATGATACCACGATGCGCTCTCTCCCGCTCTTTGCCCTCATCTCTCTCCCTCTATACCCCTCCCATCTGTGAAGTGCTCGGAGATGTTCTAAAGTTGTGGGCGACATTGTATCAGATGTAATATCAAAATCACCTGTCTTAATAGAATCTTTCATCAGGTCCTCCTCATCCTCTGAAGAGTCAGAGTCCTCAGACCCGATACCCATCGTCTCATCTTCCTCGTCCTCCTCCTCGCTATCGGTCTCTATTTCACCCTCGGGGTTGAGCTCCTCGGATCTCTCTGCCCACTCAGATGCTTTGCAGTGAGCTTTGGGTTCAGGGAATGGAATCTCTTCAGGCTCCCCACGAGGCAGGGGCGGTGTCCTCCTCACTCTCATCTTCTGATCTTCAGGCATACTCCAGCTGAAAGAAACCAAACCCCAGATGTCACTAAATTGAGTGCCGGGTTCCCCAGACATAGCCACCAGCATTGCTCAGTTTATAGCTGTGCCTGCACCCTAAATTACAAAAGAACTCCAACCTCAGGCTCCACATACCCATTACTCCAATAATAGTAATCTTTGCTTTTGATATAGAGCCTTATCACATTGTTGAGTCGTCTCAACAAGAAATGCCATAGGAGTGCTTCACAGATTACACTGTAAAGTGAATTGAATGTATTTTTGTGGGCGAAACGAGACAGCCAATTGCACACAGCAGTGTCCCACAGTCGGATTGAATGACCACATTTTTTTTTAAGGGATCATCTTAAAAATAATTATCACAGATAATTAGAGACTGCCACACAGTTTAGTTCTGCTACCAGAATTATTCCAGAATGCGATCTTTCAATATATATATTTGGTATCAATTATGCGAGGCTTCACACACCCATCACCACTTCGTCACCAGCTCCACACCCCCATCCCCCAGCTCCACACCCCATCCTCACCAGCTCCACACCACCATCCTCACCAGCTCCACACCCCATCCTCACCAGCTCCACACCCCCATCCTCACCAGCTCCACACCCCACCCCCACCAGCTCCACACCCCCATCCTCACCAGCTCCCATCCTACACTAGCCCCCATTCCATCACCTGCTTGCAGCACGGAAGAATCCCTGTCTTCCCAGTGACTTGTCTGCACCTCAAAGTCCTGCAGATGAGGGTCATCTGTCATTAGCAGTGCCCTGGGAGGATTACTGGAGCCCACCACAGAGGGTATATGATACTAATAATAATCCTTGCATTTGATATAGCGCCTTATCACGTTTTAGAAATATCTCAAAGTGCTTCACGGAATACACTGTAACGTGAATTGACTATATATTCTGTGGGCGAAATGCTGTAGCCACAGCACGACAAACAGTCATGGACTGAGTGAACACTTTTTTTTAAGTGATTATTATCCCAGAAAAGCGATCCGCCAATTGAATAACAACCAGTTCCCTACTTACTGCTCGGTAAATAGAGGCGTGTGGATAAGGAAACTTGCCCAGCGTTTTGCCCTGCCTGGGATCAAACCCAGGACCTCTCGTTTATGAGGCAAATGCTCTAACCAATACCCTACAGTTAGTTCTGTTGCCAAGTCTCCATCTGTCACCCTGACCCTGGCTCCGTTGGCCCCAGGGAGACCCCGGCTCTATCCGGTGGGGTGACCGTACATCCCCGATTTCCAGAGACAATCCTTGGATGAAATATTGTGTCCCAGGAGCCAGATTCGCCCTGTCTTGAGTTTCAGCAACAAACTGAGCAAAAACAATAAAATTCTAGATAAAACAGATACGCTTAACACAGCAACACAGCCATTAATCCAACAAGCTTCTCCATTAACTGCCAGCATCAGCAATTGCGGTGAGTTAATTTTTTTTAATATGTTTTTTAATAATAAACCCTGGATTTGGTTTACAAAATATAGTCACCCTAGCTGACTCAGCCTCTGGGAGACAGCTTAATAGTAATAATAACCTTAATACTACTAATAATAATAGCCAAAATATTGCAGATGCCGGAAATCTCAAAACAAAAACAGCAGTCGCTGGGAACATTCAGCAGGTCAGGCAACATCGAGGCATAGTGTTCCCAGCGACTTCTGTTTTTGTTTTTATAATAATCCTTGCATTTGATATAGCGCCTTATCACGTCTTCGACACGCCTCAAAGCGCTTCACAGAATATACTTAAAGTGAATTGACTGTATATTTCGTGGGCGAAGCGAGAAACCCTATTACGCACAGCAGTGTCCCACAAACAGTCGTGGATTGAAGTGACCAATTTATTATTGTCATTATTATTTTTAACGGGGATTATTACCCCCGGAAAAACAATCTGCCAATCGACTAACAACAGGTTCCTACTTACTGCTCGGTAAGCAGGGGTTTACAGGGAGTTCTTGCTGTCTACCATTCACCTCATGAGGGTCTCAAACCGCACTTGTTGGATGTCAGACAATAAACTGGTGACCGTCCTCCTGTGCGGTTTTAACCGGTTCGACTCCAACAGATACCCCAACGCACACTCTGGGGTCCCCAAGCCTCGGCTCTTGCCAAGCACTTCAAAACACTTCACGAATATATATTGTAAAGTGAATTGAGTGTGTTTTTCGTGTGGAGCCCGGTGAGGATGGGGATGATGGCACTGCAGTTTGGAGGCGCACACAAGTTTGGAAGCGCGCGCGAGTTCTCCCGTTACCTATTCTTGTTGGTGCGATTCGGAGCTGCCTTCCCCGGTGCTGACATGCTCTGGGTGGCCGCCTTCCCCGGTGCTGACGTGCTCTGGGTGGCTGCCTTCCCCGGTGCTGACATGCTCTGGGTGGCTGCCTTCCCCGGTGCTGACATGCTCTGGGTGGCTGCCTTCCCGGCGCTGATGTGCTCTGGGTGGCTGCCTTCCCCGGCGCTGATGTGCTCTGGGTGGCTGCCTTCCCCAGTCCTGATGTGCTCTGGGTGGCTGCCTTCCCCGGCGCTGATGTGCTCTGGGTGGCTGCCTTCCCCGGCGCTGATGTGCTCTGGGTGGCTGCCTTCCCCAGACCTGATGTGCTCTGGGTAGCTGCCTTCCCCGGTGCTGACATGCTCTGGGTGGCTGCCTTCCCCGGCGCTGATGTGCTCTGGGTAGCTGCCTTCCCCGGCGCTGATGTGCTCTGGGTGGCTGCCTTCCCCGGCGCTGATGTGCTCTGGGTGACTGCCTTCCCCGGCGCTGATGTGCTCTGGGTGGCTGCCTTCCCCGGCGCTGATGTGCTCTGGGTGGCTGCCTTCCCCAGTCCTGATGTGCTCTGGGTGGCTGCCTTCCCCGGTGCTGACATGCTCTGGGTGGCTGCCTTCCCCGGCGCTGATGTGCTCTGGGTGGCTGCCTTCCCCAGTCCTGATGTGCTCTGGGTGGCTGCCTTCCCCGGCGCTGATGTGCTCTGGGTGGCTGCCTTCCCCGGCGCTGATGTGCGCTGGGTGGCTGACGGTGCTCTGTACAGCATCTGGTTGAACGCCTTCATTCCCACCCGATTCTGCAGCTGCTGGAGCTCTGTGAACGACAGCGTGGAAAACTCTGGGGAACAGGGAAAGAGGTTTGAGGAGAACAATCCATAGCTTCAGAGTTTATTCCTGGTCCACAAAGTACACATTCAATTCTACTTACAGTATATTCTGTGATGCGCTTTGCAACGTGATAAGGCACCATATAATAATAATAATCCTTGCATTTGATATAGCGCCTTATCACATCGTTGAGACGTCTCAAAGCTCTTTACAGAATATATTGTAAAGTGGATTGACTATGTATTTTGTGGGCGAAACATGGCAGACAATTGCGCACAGTGACGTCCCACAAACAGTTGTGAATTGAGTGACCAATTGATTTCTCAAATTGATTTCTCTTATTATTACAGTATTTTCTACACTCGTTTTATTCCCTTCATATCTCCCCCTCTCTGCACCCATTCTCTCCCCCTCCACCTGTCACCCGTGTTCTCTCCTTGTGCACTCTGCTCCTCTGCCCTCCTTTCTCTGTCCCCTTGCTCTCTCCCTCTCTGCACCCCCATTTTTACTCACTCTCTACCCATTGCTGTCTCTTTCTCCCCCCCTTCTCTATGATACCACGATGCGCTCTCTCCCGCTCTTTGCCCTCATCTCTCTCCCTCTATACCCCTCCCATCTGTGAAGTGCTCGGAGATGTTCTAAAGTTGTGGGCGACATTGTATCAGATGTAATATCAAAATCACCTGTCTTAATAGAATCTTTCATCAGGTCCTCCTCATCCTCTGAAGAGTCAGAGTCCTCAGACCCGATACCCATCGTCTCATCTTCCTCGTCCTCCTCCTCGCTATCGGTCTCTATTTCACCCTCGGGGTTGAGCTCCTCGGATCTCTCTGCCCACTCAGATGCTTTGCAGTGAGCTTTGGGTTCAGGGAATGGAATCTCTTCAGGCTCCCCACGAGGCAGGGGCGGTGTCCTCCTCACTCTCATCTTCTGATCTTCAGGCATACTCCAGCTGAAAGAAACCAAACCCCAGATGTCACTAAATTGAGTGCCGGGTTCCCCAGACATAGCCACCAGCATTGCTCAGTTTATAGCTGTGCCTGCACCCTAAATTACAAAAGAACTCCAACCTCAGGCTCCACATACCCATTACTCCAATAATAGTAATCTTTGCTTTTGATATAGAGCCTTATCACATTGTTGAGTCGTCTCAACAAGAAATGCCATAGGAGTGCTTCACAGATTACACTGTAAAGTGAATTGAATGTATTTTTGTGGGCGAACGAGACAGCCAATTGCACACAGCAGTGTCCCACAGTCGGATTGAATGACCACATTTTTTTTTAAGGGATCATCTTAAAAATAATTATCACAGATAATTAGAGACTGCCACACAGTTTAGTTCTGCTACCAGAATTATTCCAGAATGCGATCTTTCAATATATATATTTGGTATCAATTATGCGAGGCTTCACACACCCATCACCACTTCGTCACCAGCTCCACACCCCCATCCCCACCAGCTCCACACCCCCATCCTCACCAGCTCCACACCCCCATCCTCACCAGCTCCACACCCCCATCCCCACCAGCTCCACACCCCCATCCTCACCAGCTCCACACCCCCATCCTCACCAGCTCCACACCATCCTCACCAGCTCCACACCCCCATCCTCACCAGCTCCACACGCCCATCCTCACCAGCTCCACACCCCATCCTCACCAGCTCCACACCCCCATCCCACCAGCTCCACACCCCCATCCTCACCAGCTCCACACCCCCATCCTCACCAGCTCCACACCCCCATCCTCACCAGCTCCACACCCCCATCCTCACCAGCTCCACACCCCCATCCTCACCAGCTCCATACATAGCCCCATCACACTGCTTGCAGCACGGAAGAATCCCTGCCTTCCCAGTGACTTGTCTGCACCTCAAAGTCCTGCAGATGAGGGTCATCTGTCATTAGCAGTGCCCTGGGAGGATTACTGGAGTCCACCACAGAGGGTATATGATACTAATAATAATCCTTGCATTTGATATAGCGCCTTATCACGTTTTAGAAATATCTCAAAGTGCTTCACGGAATACACTGTAACGTGAATTGACTATATATTCTGTGGGCGAAATGCTGTATCCACAGCACGACAAACAGTCATGGACTGAGTGAACACTTTTTTTTTTAAGTGATTATTATCCCAGAAAAGCGATCCGCCAATTGAATAACAACCAGTTCCCTACTTACTGCTCGGTAAATAGAGGAGTGTGGAGCAAGGAAACTTGCCCAGGGTTTTGCCCTGCCTGGGATCAAACCCAGGACCTCTCGTTTATGAGGCAAATGCTCTAACCAATACCCTGCAGTTAGTTCAGTTGCCAAGCCTCCATCTGTCACCCTGACCCTGGCTCCGTTGGCCCCAAGGAGACCCCGGCTCTATCCGGTGGGGTGACCGTACATCCCCGATTTCCAGAGACAATCCTTGGATGAAATATTGTGTCCCTGGAGCCAGATTCGCCCTGTCTTGAGTTTCAGCAACAAACTGAGCAAAAACAATAAAATTCTAGATAAAACAGATACGCTCAACACAGCAACACAGCCATTAATCCAACAAGCTTCTCCATTAACTGCCAGCATCAGCAATTGCGGTGAGTTAATTTTTTTTAATATGTTTTTTAATAATAAACCCTGGATTTGGTTTACAAAATATAGTCACCCTAGCTGACTCAGCCTCTGGGAGACAGCTTAATAGTAATAATAACCTTAATACTACTAATAATAATAGCCAAAATATTGCAGATGCCGGAAATCTCAAAACAAAAACAGCAGTCGCTGGGAACATTCAGCAGGTCAGGCAACATAGAGGCATAGTGTTCCCAGCGACTTCTGTTTTTGTTTTTATAATAATCCTTGCATTTGATATAGCGCCTTATCACGTCTTCGAGACGCCTCAAAGCGCTTCACAGAATATACTTAAAGTGAATTGACTGTATATTTTGTGGGCGAAGCGAGGAACCCTATTACGCACAGCAGTGTCCCACAAACAGTCGTGGATTGAAGTGACCAATTTATTATTGTCATTATTATTTTTAACGGGGATTATTACCCCCGGAAAAACAATCTGCCAATCGACTAACAACAGGTTCCTACTTACTGCTCGGTAAGCAGGGGTTTACAGGGAGTTCTTGCTGTCTACCATTCACCTCATGAGGGTCTCAAACCGCACTTGTTGGATGTCAGACAATAAACTGGTGACCGTCCTCCTGTGCGGTTTTAACCGGTTCGACTCCAACAGATACCCCAACGCACACTCTGGGGTCCCCAAGCCTCGGCTCTTGCCAAGCACTTCAAAACACTTCACGAATATATATTGTAAAGTGAATTGAGTGTGTTTTTCGTGTGGAGCCCGGTGAGGATGGGGATGATGGCACTGCAGTTTGGAGGCGCACACGAGTTTGGAAGCGCACGCGAGTTCTCCCGTTACCTATTCTTGTTGGTGCGTTTCGGAGCTGCCTTCCCCAGTCCTGCTGTGCTCTGGGTGGCTGCCTTCCCCAGTCCTGATGTGCTCTGGGTAGCTGCCTTCCCCGGCGCTGATGTGCTCTGGGTGGCTGCCTTCCCCGGCGCTGATGTGCTCTGGGTGGCTGCCTTCCCCGGTGCTGACATGCTCTGGGTGGCTGCCTTCCCCGGTGCTGACATGCTCTGGGTGGCTGCCTTCCCCGGCGCTGATGTGCTCTGGGTGGCTGCCTTCCCCGGCGCTGATGTGCTCTGGGTGGCTGCCTTCCCCAGTCCTGATGTGCTCTGGGTGGCTGCCTTCCCCGGCGCTGATGTGCTCTGGGTGGCTGCCTTCCCCGGCGCTGATGTGCTCTGGGTGACTGCCTTCCCCGGCGCTGATGTGCTCTGGGTGGCTGCCTTCCCCGGCGCTGATGTGCTCTGGGTGGCTGCCTTCCCCAGTCCTGATGTGCTCTGGGTGGCTGCCTTCCCCGGCGCTGATGTGCTCTGGGTGGCTGCCTTCCCCGGCGATGATGTGCGCTGGGTGGCTGACGGTGCTCTGTACAGCATCTGGTTGAACGCCTTCATTCCCACCCGATTCTGCAGCTGCTGGAGCTCTGTGAACGACAGCGTGGAAAACTCTGGGGGAACAGGGAAAGAGGTTTGAGGAGAACAATCCATAGCTTCAGAGTTTATTCCTGGTCCACAAAGTACACATTCAATTCTACTTACAGTATATTCTGTGATGCGCTTTGCAACGTGATAAGGCACCATATAATAATAATAATCCTTGCATTTGATATAGCGCCTTATCACATCGTTGAGACGTCTCAAAGCTCTTTACAGAATATATTGTAAAGTGGATTGACTATGTATTTTGTGGGCGAAACATGGCAGACAATTGCGCACAGTGACGTCTCACAAACAGTTGTGAATTGAGTGACCAATTTATTTCTCAAATTGATTTCTCTTATTATTACAGTATTTTCTACACTCGTTTTATTCCCTTCATATCTCCCCCTCTCTGCACCCATTTTCTCCCCCCTCCACCTGTCACCCGTGTTCTCTCCTTGTGCACTCTGCTCCTCTGCCCTCCTTTCTCTGTCCCTTGCTCTCTCCCTCTCTGCACCCCCATTTTTACTCACTCTCTACCCATTGCTGTCTCTTTCTCCCCCCCTTCTCTATGATACCACTATGCGCTCTCTCCCGCTCTTTGCCCTCATCTCTCTCCCTCTATACCCCTCCCATCTGTGAAGTGCTCGGAGATGTTCTAAAGTTGTGGGCGACATTGTATCAGATGTAATATCAAAATCACCTGTCTTAATAGAATCTTCCATCAGGTCCTCCTCCTCCTCTGAAGAGTCAGAGTCCTCAGACTCGATACCCATCGTCTCATCTTTCTCGTCCTCCTCCTCGCTATCGGTCTCTGTTTCACCCTCGGGGTTGAGCTCCTCGGATCTCTCTGCCCACTCAGATGCTTTGCAGTGAGCTTTGGGTTCAGGGAATGGAATCTCTTCAGGCTCCCCACGAGGCAGGGGCGGTGTCCTCCTCACTCTCATCTTCTGATCTTCAGGCATACTCCAGCTGAAAGAAACCAAACCCCAGATGTCACTAAATTGAGTGCCGGGTTCCCCAGACATAGCCACCAGCATTGCTCAGTTTATAGCTGTGCCTGCACCCTAAATTACAAAAGAACTCCAACCTCAGGCTCCACATACCTATTACTCCAATAATAGTAATCTTTGCTTTTGATATAGAGCCTTATCACATTGTTGAGTCGTCTCAACAAGAAATGCCATAGGAGTGCTTCACAGATTACACTGTAAAGTGAATTGAATGTATTTTTGTGGGCGAAACGAGACAGCCAATTGCACACAGCAGTGTCCCACAGTCGGATTGAATGACCACATTTTTTTTTAAGGGATCATCTTAAAAATAATTATCACAGATAATTAGAGACTGCCACACAGTTTAGTTCTGCTACCAGAATTATTCCAGAATGCGATCTTTCAATATATATATTTGGTATCAATTATGCAAGGCTTCACACACCCATCACCGCTTCGTCACCAGCTCCACACCCCCATCCTCACCAGCTCCACACCCCCATCCTCACCAGCTCCACACCCCCATCCTCACCAGCTCCACACCCCCATCCTCACCAGCTCCACACCCCCATCCTCACCAGCTCCACACCCCCATCCTCACCAGCTCCACATCCCATCCTCACCAGCTCCACACCCCATCCCACCAGCTCCACACCCCCATCCCCACCAGCTCCACACCCCCATCCCCACCAGCTCCACACCCCCATCCTCACCAGCTCCACACCCCCATCCCCACCAGCTCCACACCCCCATCCTCACCAGCTCCACATCCCATCCTCACCAGCTCCACACCCCCATCCTCACCAGCTCCACACCATCCTCACCAGCTCCACACCCCCATCCCCACCAGCTCCACACCATCCTCACCAGCTCCACACCCCCATCCCCACCAGCTCCACACCCCCATCCTCACCAGCTCCACATCCCATCCTCACCAGCTCCACACCCCCATCCTCACCAGCTCCACACCATCCTCACCAGCTCCACACCATCCTCACCAGCTCCACACCCCCATCCTCACCAGCTCCACACCATCCTCACCAGCTCCACACCCCCATCCCCACCAGCTCCACACCCCCATCCCCACCAGCTCCACACCCCCATCCCCACCAGCTCCACACCCCCATCCCCACCAGCTCCACACCCCCATCCCCACCAGCTCCACACCCCCATCCCCACCAGCTCCACACCCCCATCCCTCACCAGCTCCACACCCCCATCCTCACCAGCTCCACACCCCCATCCCCACCAGCTCCACACCCCCATCCCACCAGCTCCACACCCCATCCCCACCAGCTCCACACCCCCATCCTCACCAGCTCCACACCCCCATCCTCACCAGCTCCATACATAGCCCCATCACACTGCTTGCAGCACGGAAGAATCCCTGCCTTCCCAGTGACTTGTCTGCACCTCAAAGTCCTGCAGGTGAGGGTCATCTGTCATTAGCAGTGCCCTGGGAGGATTACTGGAGTCCACCACAGAGGGTATATAATAATAATAATAATAATAATAATAATCCTTGCATTTGATATAGCGCTTTTCACGTCGGGAGGACGTCCCAAAGCGCTTCACAGATCACACTGTAAAGTGAATGGACTATATATTCTGTGGGCGAAATGCTGCAGCCACAGCACGACAAACAGTCATGGACTGAGTGAACACTTATAAAAGCGCTATATCAAATGCAAGGATTATTATTATTATGATTATTACTATATTATTATTATGGGATCCTCAGCTCAGACAGTCTGAAGCCTCTGGTCATGGGTTTCCACGTGTGTCGGACACCGGCTTCTTCCTCAACTGACCACGTGAACACACCTCGTCTGGTTCAGCCAAACAGGAGCTTGTCAGCTGTTGCATTATTACAATAATAATAATAATATTAATAATATCAATGGGTTATAATTACAGTCCGTTTCGGTGTAAAAGCCTCAGTCGGTGTCTGACAGCCGCCGCCCCCTCCCTCTCCCCCGCCACCAGGGAAAATAAATCAGTCTCTAACCCTCCCCCTGAGCCGCGGGCCTCCGCCCTCCGCCCGACCCTCGCGGCTGGAATTCGCGCCCTCCCTCCTCTCCCTCCTCTCCCCTCCCGCCAGCGACCGAGATACCACACGAGGCCGCGGCCGCAGCCTCGACAATAGGCCTCACCTTCCACACGCCAAGTCCACTGACCCCAAACCCCGCCCCTAGTGACCCCGCCCCTAGTTACCACAAACCCCGCCCCTAGTAACCCCAAACCCCGCCCCTAGTGACCCCAAACCCCGCCCCTAGTTACCACAAACCCCGCCCCTAGTAACCCCAAACCCCGCCCCTAGTGACCCCAAACCCCGCCCCTAGTGACCCCGCCCCTAGTTACCACAAACCCCGCCCCTAGTAACCACAAACCCCGCCCCTAGTGAACCCAAACCCCGCCCTAGTGACCCCGCCCCTAGTAACCCCAACCCCCGCCCCTAGTAACCCCAAACCCCGCCCCTAGTAACCCCAACCCCGCCCCTAGTGACCCCGCCCCTAGTACCCCCAATTCCCGCCCCTAGTAACCCCAAACCCCGCTCCTAGTAACCCCCAATCCCCGCCCCTAGTAACTCCCAAACCCCGCCCCTAGTAACTCCCATACCCCAGTCTTAGTAACCCCCAAACCCCGCCCCTAGTAACTCCCAATTCCCGCCCTAGTAACTCCCAAATCCCGCCCTAGTAACCCCCAATCCCCGCCCCTAGTAACCCCAAACCCCGCCGCTAGTAACCCCAAACCCCGCCCCTAGTAACCCCAACCCCCGCCCCTAGTAACCCCAAACCCCGCCCCTAGTAACCCCAACCCCCGCCCTAGTAACCCCAAACCCCGCCGCTAGTAACCACAACCCCGCCCCTAGTAACTCCCATACCCCAGTCTTAGTAACCCCCAAACCCCGCCCCTAGTAGCCCCAATTCCCGCCCCTAGTAACTCCCAAACCCCGCTCCTAGTAACCCCCAATACCCGCCCCTAGTAACTCCCAAACCCCGGCCTTAGTAACCCCCAAACCCCGCCCCTAGTAACTCCCAATTCCCGCCCCTAGTAACTCCCAAACTCCGCCCCTAGTAACCCCCAATCCCCGCCCCTAGTAACTCCCAAACCCCGCCCCTAGTAACTCCCATACCCCAGTCTTAGTAACCCCCAAACCCCGCCCCTAGTAACCCCAATTCCCGCCCTAGTAACTCCCAAACCCCGCTCCTAGTAACCCCCAATCCCCGCCCCTAGTAACTCCCAAACCCCGCCCCTAGTAACTCCATACCCAGTCTTAGTAACCCCCAAACCCCGCCCCTAGTAGCCCCCAATTCCCGCCCCTAGTAACTCCCAAACCCCGCTCCTAGTAACCCCCAATACCCGCCCCTAGTAACTCCCAAACCCCGGCCTTAGTAACCCCAAACCCTGCCCCTAGTAACCCCCAAACCCCGGCCTTAGTAACCCCCAAACCCTGCCCCTAGTAACCCCCAAACTCCACCCATAGTAACCCCCAAACCCCACCCATAGTATCCCCCAAACCCCACCCATAGTAACCCCCAAACCCCACCCATAGTATCCACCAAACCCCACCCATAGTATCCCCCAAACCCCACCCATAGTAACCCCCAAACAACCGTATTTGAAAAAACGTTCTTTATTTACAATAGAAATGAAATCAAACCAATATATAAATGTCACTCAATAACACAACAGCTTCAACTATAGAAAAACAATAAAGCTGGAGCTGACCTCGGGCCAGAGTCTGAAACACACTGAGAGACTTGGCCCGGGGAACCGGACACACTTGATTCATAATAAAGGCCAACTCAGGACGAGGATGGGTAGGGGCAGTGGGCTGTGGGGGGTGGTGGGGTGGGGGGGGGGAGGGTGGGGGTACACCATGACGACAATATGCCATACTCTCGGAGTAAGTCACAGACTTATTTCACAACATTTCCACACCTCCATCTGCGAGAAGAAGAGAGTTTAGCGTTAGATTGTACAGAAACAGGAGAGTTCCCCAACGCACATGTTCTCGCACACACACACACACACACTCACTGCTCACACACACACTCATTGCTCACGCACACACAAACCCACACTGCTCACACATACACACTCACTGCTCACACATACACACTCACTGCTCACATACACAAACCCACACTGCTCACACATACACACTCACTGCTCACACATACACACTCACTGCTCACATACACAAACCCACACTGCTCACATAGACACTCACACTGCTCACACATACACACTCACTGCTCACACATACACACTCACTGCTCACACATACACACTCACTGCTCACACATACACATTCACTGCTCACATATACACTCACACTGCTCACACATACACAAATCCACACTGCTCACATACACTCACACTGCTCACATACACTCACACTGCTCACATACACTCACACTGCTCACACATACACACTCACTGCTCACATACACACACACTCACTGCTCACATACACACACACACACTGCTCACATACACACTCACACTGCTCACACATACACACTCACACTGCTCACACACACTCACTGCTCACATACACATACACACACTGCCCACATACACAAACCCACACCGCTCACATACACCCTCACACATTGATGTCCTCACCTTGTTGGAGGTCTTCGGAAAGCATGTCAGTGAGTTGATGCAACTCATGCTTGTAGCTGTCACATGGAGAGGGCTCCTCGCACATGGGTATACCCAGGGCCATCAGATCCAGGGGCAGGGGCAGCTCCTCAGCCTCTGACTCACGCTCCAGCTCCATGGCTGCCGGCAACGACAGGCTGCTCGCACCCCCAGAGGATGAAGCTGTGGACTCCACCGCCAAGAGGCACTCTGGTTCTCCCGGTCCATCCGGCCACCCGGGCTCCGGGCAGCCCAGCAGGAGAGGCTCGGGCTCCCAGTGAGCGAGAGTGGAGCGAGTGGGGCGGCCCCGGGTTCTGCCCTGCCAGGAGGAGTTCGAGAGCTCCGAGATGCTACCCTGTGTGAAGGGCGCTGTATAAACACAAGTTGTTGCTGTTGTCGACTTGGCATCACTGCTCCACATATTGGCCGCGGTGTGTTCTTCCGGGAGGTTGTGTTCTGCCGTCAGAGTTGGCTCCTTGTCCCCCTCCGCCAGGGAACTGAGGTACTGGGCCAGGGCCCTGATCTGGCTCAGCTCACACTCCGTGTACTCGCCGGGCCAGGCCGCCAAGCTGTGGCCTAGCGCTGACCAGGCCTCGCCCTCGCCATGGGCCTGGCCACCTGGCGCAGGGCAGAGGTTGCTGGAAGGAGCCAGGGGCTGGGTGGCCAGTGGACTCTCTGCCCCGCAGAAGCCGGGGGCAAGTAAAGGCCCGAGGAATTCACTGGGGAGGATTGGGAGCGGGGTGTAAGGGTGTGCGTTGGGGGTTGTGTCTAGGGGTGTGTAAGTGTGTGTGTCTGGGATTGTGTCCAGGGGTGTGAGAGGGAGTGTGTAAGGGAGTGTGTTGGGGGTTGTGTCTAGGGGTGTGAGAGGGAGTGTGTAAGGGAGTGTGTTGGGAGTTGTGTCTAGGGGTGTGAGAGGGAGTGTGTAAGGGAGTGTGTTGGGGGTTGTGTCTAGGGGTGTGAGAGGGAGTGTGTAAGGGAGTGTGTTGGGGGTTGTGTCTAGGGGTGTGAGAGGGAGTGTGTAAGGGAATGTGTTGGGGGTTGTGTCTAGGGGTGTGTAAGGGTGTGTGTCTGGGATTGTGTCTAGGGGTGTGAGAGGGAGTGTGTAAGGGAATGTGTTGGGGGTTGTGTCTAGGGGTGTGTAAAGGAATGTGCAGGAGTATGTATTGGGGGCTGTGTGGAGAACTGGGTTGGGAGTTAGGTCAGGGGGTGTGCTGGGGGGGGTGTAGGGGTGTGTGTCGAGAGGTTTGTTGACAGGTGTGTAAGGGGCTGTGCTGGCGGGTGTGTAAGCAGCTGTGGTGGGTGTGTAAGCAGCCGTATTGGGCGGTGCAGAGGGGTGTGGGTTGGGATCTGTGTCTGGGGGGGTGTTGGGTGGTGTGTAGACTGTATAGGAGGGAGTGTAGAAGGGTGCACAGGGCAATCCTGTCACCTGCTCATTCCCACTCCCGTTGTCCCGCTGGTGGGGTGATGGCGAGACCCGGGGGCATTCACAAATAGGCTCCGCGCCCGATGAAGTCACTTTCTGCCCCCACTTCAAAATCCCGGCCAAGGGCATGTCCTGGGACTGATCGCCTTGGGACCCAGGCCCTCCGGCCCCCCAGGGGGAGTCCAGACACTGCACTGGGTGCTGAGTCCTCCTCGGGGGAGGATCCGGGTGTCTTAGGAGGGAGGAGGGGGCAGAACTAAGACAACGGTCCAGAATTCTCTGCAGCAGGAACATGGCCTCCGATTCACTGTGAGGATAAAGGAATACGACTTCCATGAGGAGCCAAACCCCAGACACTGAACACAAGAATAAAGTCTCGAGAGTGGGGAGTGGGCCTCTCACTCCCTCCAACCCCCCCCCCCCCATCCCCCTCCCTGTTCCCAGCCACACACGCTCCCTCGGAACTCCCTGTGCAGCCCACCCACCCCACCCCAAAGTCAATCATCAGAAGATAGGAACAGGAGTCGGCCATTCAGCCCCTCAAGCCTTTTCCTCCATTCTATTAGATTATGGCTGATCTGTACCTCAACTCCATCCTTTGCCTCATATCCTAACCAAAATATGTCCATCTCAGTCTTGAAAATGTGAATGGATCCAACATCCACAGCCTTTTGTGGGCACACAGTTACAGATTTCCACTACCCTTTGTGTGAAAAGTGTTTCCTGATTTCACTCCTAAGTGGCTTAGTTCTAATGTTAAGATTATGCCCCCCTGTTCTGGCTTCCCCCAGCAGAAAAAATAGAATAGTTTCTCTGTAGAGACCTCATCAAATCCGTTTTATAATTTTAAAACTTCTATCAGATCCCAATCAAACACAAACTCAACACCACCAAATTGCATTTATACAGTGACTTTCACATCTGGTGGACGTCCCAAGGCACTAGACAGTCAAGGGTTTGCATCTGAGCTGCAGGGCTCGAGTCAAGGTGGGTGGAGGGCAAGGGTAGTGGGGGAGTGATGGTGGGACGATGACCGAAGGTGAGAGTGAAGAGAGAGATCTTGAGACAGACCTTGAAGGAGGC